TCTGGCTGCAGTCAACAGGAACACTGGTCGCTCTGACCTCCCAGAGTGAGGGAAGGACCAGCTGGTGGTGCCAACCCCATGTGGATTCTGGGTGAAGAACAAGGACAAGGGAGACTTTCCTGGCAGCTGAGTAAAGATACCCACCCACCACTAGCCTCAGTGTCCCCTAGAGGTCAGATGCCTGCCACCATGCAGAAAAGCTGCAATAGAGGAGAAGATAAAAAGTCGGTTCTCTATGGCCTCAGAGAGTATCTAAACCCATCTGGAAGAACATTAGTGGGCAGGGAGTATCAGGTTTCTTCATCTGCTGGGGCCTGAATTTGATCACTGGCCAAAAAGGATGGTTTTGTTTTCTGTTGTCTTTGCTATACATGAAGCAAAAAAAGTGCAGAATATTGCAGTCCACAGATCTTACCCTACTGGGAGCTAAGAGCTTTCACTACTCTACCACAGAGAAAGCTGAATTCCGAGACAAGCTCTGCAGCCTAGCTTCCTTCTCTTCCTTCTAGGATACCAGCAGGGAGCAGATCAGGCGAAGGTAATTACAATTCTGCTTCATGCCCTTAATGTTCCACAGCACAATTGAATTATGATGATGGTAAAAGGAGGAGAAGCCACTGGCCCTTCCTCTGGCCTCCTGGGGGCTGCTGTTGGCTGCTGGGTGAGGGCTAAGTCATCCATTACCTCTCCCAGCTTGGAATGCAGGATGAGCTCAGCTGTCAAGGGGAATAAATCACTTTCTACAGGCAGCCTGATCCCTCCTATCCAGAGCCTGGAGGTGCTCTGAGAGCAGGATGGGAAAAAAACTGCAGATGAAGAGCCCAGGCATACTCAGCTATACATGTCTATGTTTTGTCCTGGTTTCCTGAGGTGCTAGACATGAACCATGGGCTTCTTTGGGTGATCCTCTGCTCTGAAGGAGCTCTTACCAAGATAGTTTAGTCTGCAACACTTAATTGCCAGAATGTTCTCCTGCAAACCCACTGCCAGCCACAAGTTCAGGAGAGGTGCATGACTGCCAGGCTCAAAAGAAAAACAAACCCCTACCCTCTGCCTACCCACAAAACCCTGCCTTCTGCCTACCCACAAACCCCTGCCCTCTGCCTACCCACAAACACATACCTTCTGCCTATCCTATCTACTGTCTGACACAACTGTTCAAACTAGCTCTAGACGCCAAATGCCATTTCTTCTGTTCCTCTATACCAGGTGCCATCTCTGACTTCCAGATGACCCACCCTGGTCACTAAAAGAACCAGATTGTCCCACCCAGGTGGGTTTTTTTATGGCACAAACAAACCAGATACCCTTGGATATAAATGCAGGCTATCTGCTGACTTTCTGTCATCTAGGGAAGGCTGCTGCAACAGGAGGAAAATGGCAGCCAGCACAGAGCCACAAAGGCAGGACACTGAGACTGATCAGTGTGTCTGTCTTCTGACCTGCAAGACCTGCCACTCAGAAGTATGATAGCCCTCTGCCTTAAGCTGGCATTTATCTCATGCATATAAGGCCTGATAGCCTTTTAGTCAGGACCCCTCTTAAGCTGTTTACATGTTTCTATTCTTTGCAACCTCAAATCTTAATTTATAAAGCCCCAGTGATATTATGGAATTCTGTCCCAAAGCATCACCCAGTGTCCTGGTGAGGATTCTAGCATGGAGAACTGTTATATTGTGTAGTGTGCATTTTGTAATGCTCGAACTTAAATGTTGAATTTAAAAATGGATATATGGATTTGACTGTTTCCTAAAGTTAGGTCTTAAGAAGAAGGGGAAAAAGGTGCAAGAAGCATTTCCTATTGCTACTGTAGTCACATGACTGGAGAAGGGCCATGACTAGAACTGGATCAGTATGTCTCAGGTGTGTGATGGGACTCACTAACACTGGCTAGCATCAATCCCCTGCACTTTGAACACTCTGTCCTGATACCTGGGGGGAAGGGGCTCTCTTTTTCTGAAAAATGGCACTATAAGAGCCAATCCCATGTGACTCTCATCCCTTGACACTTGCTGCTAGGGTGGCAGAGGCCTAGCCTAACTAGATAGTGGCTCCAGGACATCACCTTTGCACCAGGCAGTGTTCCACTCATCTAATCCATTCTTCCCCAGGAAACTTTATCTTAACTGGGACCAGTACAGAAGGTGCAGGCCAAGCCCTTTTGGTATTCCACTGCAATTTGGGCATTATGACCCCCCAAGGGAAAAGGAGGGTGGCAGGGAAAGCTGACTCCCCCTTCCCCCGTTCCCCCCCCCCCCCCCTGTGCCCATTTTATAGAGGAACAAAAGAGCCTCATTCCAATTTCTAGGAGGGTACACTTGCAATGGCTTGGATCAGTGAGTACACTTTCACTGAATGAACAGAAAACACAGTGCTTGACACAGAGGGTGGGCTGTTGCTAACACACAGCTCTACTCACTGACAATCCAGTCCATCTGCCTCTGTGCTGATATGTTGATAAAGCTATGGAGGCAATTGGCATTGTCTGACTACTCCATCCATTAAGACAATCCTGCTTTCTGATGAATCTGTAGATGTAATTTTAAAATGTGAAATGTTTTCCTTTTTCTTTCTTGCTGGGATCTCACCAAGGGCATCAGCTGAGAGGTTACTGTCATGCAGATCCTTTTTGCTGGGTGACTAACCCTCTGCTGCTCCTTCCTAAAGCCATTAAACCCTCTTGTTCTTTGGAGCTGTCAGATGCCTCCAGGGACATGACCTGAGCATTGCTTCCCTCACACCATGGGTAGCACTGACTGATACCCTGAGTGCTCATCTTACCAGGTGGTCACAGCGGGAGGGCGGGGGTTTTCTGGGCCACACAAAGCCTTGCCTCAGAAAGCTCCATTTTCCTATGACAATGTGTGAGCCAGAATTCCAAGGCTTATAAATAAAGTGACTGAGAATATTATAACCTGATGATTAGGAACTTTGTTCTGAATCTATTTATCATAAAATAATCAAACTGTGCCTGTTCTGTGGTTATGGAGAGTCACATGAATGCCCCATGTGGTCTTCTGTACAGGTTCTGAACTGCTATTACAGGGGTAGATGTGAAGTGACATTTTAGTGGAATTAGAGTTAAAAACCAGTGTTTGATGGACGATCCCTGAGACTAAAATTTGTTCAAGAACACCCTCTTTCCCTTCTCACATGCATGTGTGGGTATGTGCATGTTTGCATGTAATGTGGGTGTTTTCCTTGCCCTTTCCCTCTCTCCTGAGCACTGGGAGGCTAGGCCTGCCATCATGCTTGCTTGGCATCTCTGTGGGTGCTGAGACCTGAACTCTGACCTGAACCTGGGTTCTTATGCTTGTGCAGCAAGCATGTTACCCACTGAGCTAGTTCCTGGCCCTAAATGGCTAGTCTTTAGTGAGCATACTCTGTGTCTGAATTTCTCTCAACCTATAGAAATACAAGCTCAACAATTAAATTTCTCAAGAAAATGTTCTAACAATCAAACGTACCTATACTTTAAATATCTCCCATAACAAATATTCAAGACCAGTTCTCCACTAACAGAAGGCTGGAGAATTTCTATTCTAGAGTTGTCTCTGACTCAGATCGAAACAACAGAATTATATGCAGGAAGGGGAGATGTATATAGACAATTAAGCAAGACTTTTCTTATTAACCCAACTCTTAACATTCATTAATTCAACAGAAGACTCTCATTGGCAAGGTGAACACTGAATATCTACTTAAACATAGAAATTACACCTACAAATGTCATGGAAAAGGGCATAGGCTTCTGTATTTAAACAGAAGAATATGGTTTTAAGGGAAGATTATAATCTATGTTCTGCCAAATAAGACAACTGACACTTAAACATGGAAGAAATAAGCCGCTTGTGTTTGTACACAACTGGCCAAGTGTGGGATTATGTCTGTACTCCCTCCTGGGACATGGGGTCCAGTCTGTGGATATGGATACATTGAGGCAAGTGGTTGGTTCCTCCAGTGAGAGAGAGGCACATCAAATTGCTTTTAGGCACCAAGAAAACATCAGTTCTTGTGCTTTGGCATTGGGCATCCCAGTAGTCCTTATGCAGCTCCAGTCACTTGCATGCAAGCAGACTGGCTTATAATGGCATGGGATCTCATGGGGGGAGTACCATGGGTGGTGCTGAAGCTCCTGATTTCCCTCTTAGCAGGCATGTGCTCTTACACAAGTCACTTACACATCTCTGAGTCAAGGTGTTCTCGCCTGTGAAAATGGGGTAAGTCACCCTTGGCTTTCCATATCTGAAAGTCCAATGAGAATCTAACAGCTGCATTCCAGTCTGAGAACTGGCGTGTAAGGGGAGAGAGAGCACTACAGCCAGTAAGTAAGCTTTGGTGACAAGAAATGATTTTTTTTTTAAGCGCTACAAGGGTCTTCATTCTGGTGTCCTGCCCCCATCCAGAAAGATCAGCTGCACCACAGACAATTCTTGGAGTCCACAATGCTTTCTTCTTCATTGCTTCTAAGAGCTCCCTTATTTATAAATGGCAATTCTGACCTCAAGTTCACGATCAAGTGCCTGCCCAGGAGGTGCTGTAAATATACCCTCACTTGATGAAAGAGCTGAGAGGACAACCTCTTGCCACAGAAGAGCTTCTGAAGGAGAGTGGACTCTGGAAGCAGCTCAGGGAGGCTGGCTCTGTAGCAGTGAGTCTTAGCCACAACAGGAAATTCCCAGAAATAGAGAATAATAAAGACACAGGACAGAACAGCACAGGGAGAAGAGCATCAGACAGAGAGTAGCTTCATTTTCCATCTCTATCATTCACAATGTACCTGTGCATATTCTACAATCTACATTCTACAGCCCTGTCTCTCCAGACTGATCTTTCCACATAACAAGGCCACCTTCACCCGTCCTCATAGCTCTGCCTCCTTGGATAGGCTGTGAGCATGAAGCAACTTGGGTTTATTCAATCTGCACAGTCCCCTAGAGTGGGCCATTGAGAAGCCCACCACAGATAAAGGAGTCCCAGGGCGGAGCACCGAGTAGTACCTGGTATGGCTGTTGGAGGACAGGCTCTCCCAGGGCTGTACACTGCAGCCGGCCACAGCGAAGGCTCCACCACAGCTGCCATCCAGCTTCATAAGCAGGGCTTTGGCAGCATTCTCAGCAGTCTTCCGGCAATCATGAGCCCGCTTGAGCATTTGAGTGATATTCTCATCCCCTGACTGGTCTCCTACATCACAGAGAAGTCAATGTGTTAACTGATGCAGGTATGAGTCAGAAAAGCCCAGGCAATGCTTGTGTAATTGATTCTTAGTCACTGAGGGCTCGATGAGTAGGAGGACTGAGGAAGCCCTGCCCTCTGGTCTTGTAGGATAACTGAGAAGGGGTGGTCATTCCTCTGTGTGGGTGCCATAGTCTTCATGGACAGTATGATCTCCACCATCAGTGTAGAGTTCTAACGTTCTAATTATCTTTCCACATTTTCCAGGTTGCTGGCATCTCTTCCTACTCAGGCACATGTCTCCTACACATGGGAACTTTATGAATGAAGGCAGAGAGAAACTGGGGCAAAATGTCACATTGCCACACATCAACAGCACTGTAAAAGTTACATGCAGGGACACAAGTAATTTGAGCTGAAACTGGAGCAATCTCTGTACCAATACTATTCCTCTCAGTTGGGTCAAGGTGGCCAACTCAGATGGCTCCAGAAGCTAGTTGACAGGGCTAGGCCAGGACACGAAGTATAGAAAGCATAAGGCCAAGATAATGACGTTAGCCCCTGCTCAAGATGGTCACACTCTTGGCATGGCTTTTAAAACTGTGATGGAAAAGGTAGGACTATTGAGACATTAAAAAGCTCAGTGAGGTTTATAAGATGTCATTATCACTAAAGTACCTGCCATACAAGCACAAGGACATTGCTTTAAATAACCGGTACCATGTAAAATCTGGGTGCAGTGGCACACATCTGTAATTCTAACACTAGAGAGGAGTTGGGGAGAAGACAGGCAGATCTCTGGTGGTTGATAGGCAGCCAGCCTAACCAAATTGAGGAGCTGCAAGTTCGTGAAACAGCCTGTCCCCACCAAAAATATAAGGTGGTGGTTGTATGCCTTTAATTCCACAATGAGGGAGGGCAGAGAAAGATAGGTAGATCTCTTTGTGAGTTCAAGTCCAGATTAGTCTACTTAGAGAGTTCAATGCTAACCAGGGCTACATACTGAGATCCTGTCTCAAAAATTAAATAATTAATTAATTAATTAGGAGAAAATGATAGAAGATGACACCCAACTCTGACCTCCATCTCTAGCTTCTACATGCATGCACACAAGTGCAAGCATACCCACGCACGTAAGTGCATTTACCCATTCATAGGAACATGTACATATACTATACAGAAACAAACAAAAAATGTTCAAAAGCAGACCACTTGCCTGCTTTGTAAAAAGCACTGGGTTTGACTCTTAGAACTTAAAAGAAAAAAAACAGTGGGTAGATAGATGACAAATAGTAGATAGATAGATAGATAGATAGATAGATAGATAGATAAAAAAGAAAAGGAAATAAGAAACAAGAAGAGTGGCCCTTAAGGATTGGGAGAATAGAGTGAAAAAGAAGGAAAAGGCAAAGCTGTGAGAGTCTTCATAAGGTGACAACTACCAAGCACAAAACTACTACGTATGATGCTACAGTGGTGGGTCCATGTTGTTGTCCACTTGCCACACCCAAGGAGTTTCTAACAGGAAGTAAATTCTAGTAGAGACCAAGAACTTTGAATGAAGATGTCTGGCACATCTGTTCTTTATAATGGAGAAGGCTGTGCATGTGCCTGGACATCTATGTTTTTTCCTCTCAACTTGGCTGTGAAAACTACTTCTGGTGGTTTGAATAAGAATGGTACCCACAGGTGCATGTATTTAAATGTTTGGTCACCAGAAGTAGCATTATTTGAAAGGATTAAAAGGGCTAGGAGGTTTAGCCTTGTTGGAGGAGGTGTGTTACTGGGGTGGGAGAGCTTTGAGGGTTCAAAGGCCCAAGCCAGGCCAAGTCTCTATCTCCTTCCCTCCCCCTGTACCCCCATTTCTCTTGGATCAGGATGTATCTTTCAGCTACTGCTCCAGTGCCATCTGTGCCACGAGGCTTCCCTCTATGATGATAATGGACTAAACATTTAAAACTATAAACAAGCCCCAAACTAAATGCTATCTTTCATAAGAGTTGCCTTGACTGTGGTATTTCTTCATAGTGATAGAATAGTGACTAAGACACTAAAGAACAAAGGCTTCAAAACAATACAAAAACCATGTCAGCCAACAAACCACTGGCTTTCGATCCATACAACACAGATCTGTGTTTTTCTCATGAAACTTTGGATAGTGAACATTAAAAACATAAATGTGGTTGGGTGAAGTGGCCAACGTTGGGCTACACTCAGCTTCTTCACCCTTTGTGCCTACTGCTGAGCCCTGAAGACACTCTTTTGGTTTCTCAAGGTACAGTTTGAAAACCACTGGGATAACCCTTCTCAAATGAATTTAACGAGTGCCTATGAAGTCAGTAATAAACAAAGGCAACCGCAGTAATTGACATTGTGAGTAAATGTCACAAACTAGCTCTTGCTTATACAGCATGATGGGCAGAGTGAGACATCAACTGCCACAGTCAGCAGGTATGAAAATTATGCAATGCGTAGCACTGTGAAGAATAGCGAGAACACTCCTAGGTATGGTGTGGTTCCCATACTGGGAAATCCATCCCTCAAACTGATTTTCAGCCATCTTTCCCATTTTCTTCTTCCTACCGGGAATAGTATGTACATGCACCTCATCAGTTGAGCACTCTCTGTACTCTGTTCTGAAGCAGGCATGGTATCATTGTAGGTGGGGATATCTTACTCATACAAGTTACACTTGTCTGAAGATCAGAGGACAGAGCTTGCCACCAGCTAACCATAGAGGTCTAGAGCTCTGTACAGACAGACAGGAAGTGAGATGGCTTGGCCAAGAGAGGATATAAGTGTGAAGAAGCAGGAACTCGCTCTCTTTTCCGCTGGGAAGCTAATGAGGTAAAGGTGGCTTTGGTTTGCTCCTTCTTCTCTCTGATCTCTCAGCATTTTCCTCTATGTCTGACTCTGGGTTTCTATTACTTAGACCAATTTAGAACTCCATTTACAATTGTATAGATGCATACAGGAGTTACCTGGGATGAGTGAGACATGAACACTTGATGATTATTGCAAATGGTTTAAACGATGATTTGTTTAATCCATTTCAACTCCTATGAAGTAATTGCCCTGTGCAGGCACCAGCCTAATAAAGATGCTTTGTGCTCATGGAACAGGTTAAGACATCTTGTGATACAAACTAGAACATGATTGATTTTTTTTCCCTCTTTAATTGATGGTTTTCTTAATACCTATAAAAAAATTGACAGCAGGCCAAGATCGTTTTAGGATCTGTTTCATATGAGGAGTAAAGTTTTATGGTTCAGTTAAAAGACCCTGAAAAATGAGGTTTCTAATGGAAATGTTGGCAGAGCTTCTGCTTCTGGGCTGGGCCAGGCAGTGGGGATGGACCAGAGGGGGGAGTGGAGAAATAGAGGGTGGCCTCCTATACCAAGGATAAATGCTCCCTTGTTAGAGAGCCTGGGTATAAGAAAGGAAAGTAATGTTCCCCTTCTTCCCATCCTCAGGTTTGATTCTGATCCTTGAGGGCATCAAAAGCAAGGGAGGAAAAACCCAACTTTCCTTGCAAAGGTGGCAACAGAGAGGTGGCAGGGATGGGGGTTTCTCAGAGGGGCCTGGGAAGTAGCCTCTGTGGTAGTGTGTCCTGGAGAGATGAGGCAATTGGAAGCACACAGCCATTAACAAGCTATTCATCCATTACCCTCTCCCTTCCCATGCTTAAGGCTCAAAGCAACTTCCTGACAGATAGCCTGGTGGTCAGACATGGGGACACCTGGCCTGCCCATACTGCTCATCTTGGAAGGTTTGGAAAGCATGGCACCATTTGGGCTGTAATTTTAAAAAAGTGGTGCAAGAGAGAAAGTTGCCATGCAACAGAATTCAAGTGGAGGATTTTTTTTTTTTTAATTAGGGAAAGGGGAGGGGGGAGACCAGCTTCCAGGGACAGGAGCAGTAGGAGAGAGGAAAGAGAGGCTGAGAGAGAGAGAGACAAAGTGACAGAGAGAGAGAAGAGAGAGAGAGAAGAGAGAGAGAGAGAGAGAGAGAGAGAGAGAGAGACAGACAGACAGACAGACAGACAGACAGAGACAGAGAGACAGACAGAGACAGAGACAGGGAGAGAAAGAAAGAGAAGAGAATGGGAGTAGGCAGGATCCTTTTAAAAGGGAACATGGTGAATGTGCACAGGTGGTGCTCTTAGTGGCTGCAGCTGAGGGCGTATCCTGTTAGAACCACAAGGACAGTCAGGTACAGATGCCGGAATACTAACATTTGAGTTTTATGGACTTGTCATTATTTCTCCCAAAAGGCTGTTTCTACAGAGCATAGGTGAGCTTGTGTCCAGGGCACACTAAGGCTATGGCAAGCCCTCTTCCTGTCCAACACTGTACTGTGGTCTGGTCCTCTCATACCACTGGAGGCCCTGAATGGTCACTGGCTGAGTTTTATGGACATGATGAAGAAGCCTATATGCTTTTTCTCCTCACTATATGTGTTGGTATCTTTAACATCATTGTGAGCCCAACTCCCTCTACTCCTACTGTCAAGCCCAGGAGAATCTATTTCTTAAGAGTGCTTGTTTGTTTTAACTTGTCTGTGATCCTGTTTCCACTCTAGTTCTTGCTTCATTCAATGTAAACAGTTTACCCTCTCAGTCATGAGTGAAAATGGAAAACACACTTGACAAGCAGATTTCATGTTTCTGGGAGATGACTCAATGCCAGCAGCAGTGGAGACAAGATGGGAAATAGCACAGAGGGAACTCAGGGGACACTTACCAGGGGAGGAGCCCACACCAGCTGCCCGGAATTGCCCCAGGATGAGGCTCTGCTCGCTCTCAGCCAGTTCCAGTAGGAGTTCATAGGCTCCCATGCACTGTTCACTGCAATAGAAGCACAGCATGGCATCAGCTCTGGCAGAGAATGGAGACCACCGCAGCCTCCCCAACTGACCACCCATGAATATTTCACATAGAAGTGCTCCCTGGACAAACTAGTGGCTTGTTGTTATGCTGATCCCTTAAAAAACAAAACAAAACAAAACAAACAAAAAACCCTAAGTTCCAGAAAAATACATAAGACGCAATAAAAGAGGAAGGGGAAAACTATTTGTCCTTTTGATGACCAATCAAAAGGGAGAGGTGACACCCCCTTGGTACTCAGCTTCCACAGAAGCATCTCCTAAGTCTGCATCCCAGTATGTATACTCTCCCTCTGTCCCGTTTACTCTACCTTGACTCTAACAGAGTTGCTCTCTGTAGTTTATGGAAATGATGGTAAGCTGAACCTAGCATTAAGCTCTTCAAACGCGATGACTTCCATCTTGATCATTCTCCCACTTCCCTTTCTCTCTCGGGTCATCTCTGGAAGACAGCCTGGGCCCTATATTAAGCCTCCCTATGGAGAGACCTACATGGAGAGGAGCTAAGTCTTCCAGCCTACAGTCCAGGGGAAACTGGGGCCTTTACACAGACTGAGTCTGCTTGAAAGGAGGCCCTAGTACCCCAGCCAAACTTTCAGAAATCGTGGCCCTACTTGACACATGACCCTCAGAACTGCCTAGGAGACCAAAGGCTTGGAACAGCTAGCCAAGTCATTCACAGATGCCTGACCCTCATACCTATCATGCAACCCTTGATAGTTATTAAAACCCCCTGTAAGGAGATAATTATTTTGAACTATATGTACTGTACAGTAGACAACCGCTATATGTGGCTATTTCAAGTAAAATCAAAGGAAAAGTTCTAGGGGACCATTGCAGTGACCATATTTCACATGTGTGGTCATCGCATGGTTGCCAGTTAACCACAGACATAGAATGGTTCCATCACCAAGAAAGTGCAAACACAGACTCCTACAAAAGCCTCATGAAATGCTGTTAAGTTGTAGAGTCTGAGCTTGGGTGTTCAAGAGAAGAAAAAGTCTTTCTTCTCCATGCTCATCATCCACTGAACAGACAGGCAGGCCCAAGAACAGCCTCTTTGCTAGGCATGCCAGGGCACACTTCTATCTCCCAATTCTGAGGTCAGCTTGGACTATAGTGAGATTCTCTCTCTCTCTCTCTCTCTCTCTC